TTTGAGACAGAGTCTTACTCTGTCACCCTGGGTAGAATGCCATGGTGTCATCATAGCTTACAGAAACCTCAATCTCTTGGGCTCAAGAGACCCTCTTGCCTCAGCCTTCTGAGTAGCTGGGACTACAGGTGGCCATCATGATGCCTGGCTAGTTTTTCTATTTTTAGTAGAGACGGGGTCTCTTGCTCAGGCCTGAGCTCAAGGGATCCTCCCACCCTGGCCTTCCAGAGTGGTAGGATTACAGGTGTGAGCCACCATGCATGGCCACTTTCCTCTTTTTCTTAAAAAAAAAGTGACAATTTTAGCATATTTGAATTATGCAACAGCCTGAAACAAAGATAGTACACCAACATTTTACCAAAGATGTGCCCAGTAGTCTCATTAAAAAAAAAAAAAAAACTGAGTATAAACATATGAAAAGATGTCAACTTCATTATTAAAGAAATTCATATTAAAATGACCATAGCCATTAGTGTTTGCTAGGGTGTGTGAAAAAAGGCATTCTTAAACACTCTTGTCTGGTATAAATAGGTATATCCTTTTCCTTGGCAATTTGGCTAACAGTATCAAAAATTTGAAGTGCAAACCATTTAATCAATCTCATCAAGACTTTCCCTGAGGGAATAAACAGGTACCAAATGATATACAGTATATGCAGGCTGTTCCACACATCACTGTGGTTAATAGTAAAGCATTGGAAACCTGTGCAACCTGTAGGGGGATGTTAGATCCCAGCCCAATCCCCTTTACTTGCTGAAGTCCCTCAGCTTCTAGGAGGGTCAGAAAATTACTTGGGGAGGTTATGGGAGGGATGTAGGATTGGGTGGGTGGAGGGAGCAGATTCTGGTACTGACAATGCTCCAAAGCTCACCCTTGGGATGGAATTAGCAGCAGATTGAAGCTTAGACCACTTCCTTTATTTTCTTTCCTTATTTATTTATTTTATCATTATTTTTTAATGAGACAGGGTCTCACTCTGTCACCCAAGCTGGAGTGCAGTGGTGTCATCATAGCTCACTGCAATCTCAAATTCCTAGGCTCAAGTGATCCTCTTGACTCAACCTCCCAAGTAGCTGTGTGCCACCACACCTGGCTAATTTTTTCTAATTTTGGTACAGACTGGGTCTTGTTCTTGCTTTGGCCTGTCTTGAACTCCTACCTCTGCCTCTCACCTCTGCCTCCCAGAGTGCTGGGATTACACTCATGAGCCATTATGCCCAGCCCCACTTCCTCTCTGTTTTCTGTTCTTTTCTCCTCACTTCTCCTAAGAGCACTCCTTTAAAATTACAGATGACCTGAACAAGAATCCCCATCTTAGGCCCTACTTTGGAGGTATATGATCTAAGATAAAGCCATTAAAAATGATTATGGAAAACCCCACACTGTACCCCAGAAGTGCATTAATGTACATAGTTACCGTTCAATAAAAAAAAAGAAAAAAAAATGATTATGAACATCTACGTTCACTGACTTGGAAAGATGTTCCTAATGTACAGTATTAAGAACATATGTTAAAACACACACACACACACAACAGGCTCAGCACAATGGTTATGGCACTGGCCACATACACCAAGGCTGGTGGGAATCTGGCCCGAGCCAGCTAAACAATGACAACTGCAACAGAAAAATAGCCAGGCGTTGTGGCGGACACCTGTAGTCCCAGCTATTTGGAAGGCTGAGGCAGGAGAATCACTTAAATGCAAGAGTTTGAGGTTGCTGTGAGGGTGACATACTAAGAATCTGTCTCAAACACACAGACACACACACACACAACAGTAGGATAACAGATGTCAGGCCTCATTCTGTACAGACTAATATATTATGGAATTATTTTTTAAGTGTGCTAATGGTCATGTTTCTTCATGGAAGAATGTCCTCATTCTTAGGAGATGGATGCTGAGAGAGCAGTGTTTCTGCAGTTATGTACCCAGAGGGTTCCCAAAAGAAGGTTGTGTGTATGGAGAAGAGAGTGGGGGGTGGGGAAGGAGAGACACACAGAGGACAAACAGTAAAAATTGACATCATTGAATATAGCGAAGGTTATAAGGAGTTCAGCATATTAGTCTTTCAACTTTTTTGTACGTTTACATTTATTCAAAATAAGAAGTTGGGGGAAAATATATCTTATGAGTGCTAGGATTACTGCAATTTTATCAACATTGGGAATTGCAAGAATTAATATTTCTGTTTTTGATCCTTGCATCTAAGGACTTTATGTGCTACACCTGCAATGCTAATGTAAGATGTGTGTAGCAAAGATTGTTCCACCGCTCTGGTGAACATTTACCCCATAGACACCATACTATCCGGGTGCTGGCTTGTGTAACCTACCAGGACTACATGTGAACTTTAACCTTTCGCTTGCTTTAATAGTCTGTTAACTTGGTAGGATTATCTAGGCTGAACCTTGTACCTGCTAGCTAGACTAAGAATACACTTTCAATATGAGCACGGCCTTTGATCCAACTCTTCCACTTATGGGAACCTAGCCAAAGCAAATAATGGCGAATGTGCTGATTTTACTAGCAAATAATGAGTGACAATGTCAATGTCCATAAATGGAAGACTGACTTTAAAATCTTATGCAACCAGTGAAAATCATTCTGCAGAAATGTGTTGGCTGACAAGGAGAAAGATGGTCCAAATATATAGGGAAAAAACAATTATATGGTGTAAGCAAGTTCTATTTTAAAAGTTACAGTTATATCCATGGACTTGGAAGAATATATATCAAATGCTTAACCCTGGCTGTCTCTGGATGGATGAAATTTTAGGTGTTTTGTTCTTTTTGCTTATTCTAGTATTCTGACTCTTCCGTAATAAACAGGCATGGCTAAGCAATTAAAAAAGGAAAATTCATTAAAAGATAAAAGCAGTTAAGACACCATGAAATTTAACAAATCAAATTATGACATTTTATCATAGTCAATTTAAATTGAATTTTTTATAATATCTAAAAGTTTGGTTTTATAATACCTAAAAGAAGTTTGAATCTTCTTATACATCTACCTACAAGATCCAATCTCTATTGTGGTTAAGACTTCACGTTCTGGTTTTGGGACAGCTTTACCCTGTACATCCTGGCTGTCACTCAGCTTCATGACTTTAGCTGGATTTCTTAGCCTCTAATCTATATTTTCTTTTGTGTAATGAGGATGATAGCAATAATACCAACTTCACAGCTTTGTTAAAGGTTACAAAACACATGGAAATGCAGAATAACATGTGCCTCATATTAAGTACTTAACAAATATTAACTAGTATTACTAAATTAAGTGTTCTAGGCTTTCTTAAAGGGCCAGCAGATTATTTCTGTGTTCACTAACAGTATGAGCCCCTGCCTAAGCCTAAAGGACTCCACCCAGCATTTTGACAGCTGTCTGGTGCATCTTGCCTAGCTTTTATTTTTCAGAGACAGGTACATAGAGCAAAAGCAGTCAAAGGCTTTTCACCTTCCCAGAAGCTTTCTTATCTCTGGTTGGGAGACAGAGGTTGCTGACTTCCTAACAGAGCACAATGCTCAGGAGACCAAAGTCAAAGACCAAGGTTCGAAGTTCCACAAATAAGTGTCCCTCTTCACCACCATTGAGAGAAAAAGTGCACTTGTAGGTCACATAAAAGCACATTTATTTGTAAATCAGTAACTTCAAAATCATCTCTGGAACTCAGAATCTATTAGGCCAGAGCAGACATCCTAAGTAAGAAAGTGAGGTCTACATCATTGTTTACTTATTAATGAAAATTTTAAATTAACTGATTATGATTATGTGGAAGAGGGATTTTCGACATTTCCCTGATAAGAATCACTTAGGATGCTCAATAAAGACAATTTCCCTGGAAATTAACCGCATTAATTAATTCCATGGGTCTGAGATGGCCTGCTAAGTTGGAAATTTTTATTTTTACAAATGCCTCCTGATGATCACTAAGTCCAAAAATATCTGGGGAACGCTGATCTGGAACATTGCTCTCAGCTTCCTTTGCAGTTTTTAAGTCTTGAACTATTATCATTCTATAATACTGAAAAGTCTTATCCAGTCAAGTTTTACAAAAGAAAACTAAATCTCAGGGACCGGGTGGGGGGCAGCAAAAAAAAAAAAAAGAACCCTAAATCTCTTGAACATTTGGTTTGATATGGTGTCTTCAGAAGCATTGCAAATCTTTTACTTTGGCTGTTTGCATTTCTGGCCCAGCCCTTCTAGATCACATTTTTCTTGAAAGGTCCATCTTCTGGGAGGTGTGACACTGTAATTTAACCAAATCGTTTTTTAAAGAATTCATTTCTTATTAAGATTATCACGTTCAATAACATTGCTTGCTTCTGTCTTGTTTCCTTCTCTCCTGAAACGCGTTAAGAAGTGATTCAATACTCCGACCTTTCCACTTTAAATGTCATACTGACCACGCCATGTATGCCGGCCTGGATCTCATCGTTTTCTTTAACTGGTCCAACTCCTTTTGGCGTCCCAGTCAAAATAATATCTCCTTCTTCCAAGGTTATTATCTTAGAAACATAGCTGATGATGTAAGGGATGGAAAAAATCATGGAAGATGTCTCACCTTCCTGTCTGAGTTCACCATTGACCTTGAGCCAGAGCTTCAGCTTGTGAGGGTCTGGGATCTTCTCTTTGGATACGAACGCGCTGACCGGGCACGAGGCAGTGAAGCTCTTGGCTAGGGTCCAGGGTAGCCCCTTTTTCTTGCACTCGTCCTGCACGTCTCTGGCAGTCATGTCCAGGCACAAGGCGTAGCCGGCCACGTAGTCCATGGCCATGGTCTCCGGGACCGCACGGCAGCGCTTGCCCATCACTACGCCCAGCTCCAACTCGTGGTGTAAGTTGCAGGTGTAGGCCGGCATGAGGATGGGTGAGCCCTCGGGGGCGTAGGCGGTGGAGGGCTTCAGGAAGAGCACCGGCTCGCTTAGCACCGGGCTGCGCATCTCCTTGGCGTGGTCCGCGTAGTTCCTCCCCACGCACACGATGTTCTTCCCCCACTCCCAGAAGCGGGACAACTGCCTGGTCGCCGCCATGGCTGTAGCGAGTCACCTAAGAGTCACGCGGCCTCTGCCAAGCCAGTCACCTGACACCTACGGCTACCCGGAGGGGACCAACTACTTTGGAGGACTGCCCCTCAGCTACCCGCCGTCCTGCTGCGTGCTCCGCCAGGTGCCGGGAGGCTCGGCGCTCGGCCTCTTGCAAGCAGATGTCCCTGGCCGGGTGAGAGGCCAAGGCTTGCTGGCAGCTCCGGGACCCCGCCCCTCAGGCCGCGGCAGCGGGGCGGGGTAGGGAACCGGTTGACACGAGCACGCTGATTGGGTGGCGGTGGCGCAGGGCGTGGCGGAGTGGCGCAGATCGGGCGCTGATTGGCTGTGGTGCGCCAACGCCCGTGCGCCCGGCGGGGCAGCGGCTTGCCGGTCATGGTGCTGGGCCGCGGGTTGCTGGGCCGCTGGAGCCTCGCTGCGCTGGGAGCCGCCTGCGCCTCCAGCCGCCTGGGTAGGGAGCCGGGGCAGCGCGGGCGGGCCCACGGCGGGGGCGCGCGCACGACGGTTGGTCGCCGCGCCATCGATGCTGTTTTCTGTTGACACGGGTGTCCGGGCGCGCGCCGCGGCGGTGGCTACTGCGACTGGTCGAGTGGTCACTGTCGCGGGGCTTGCCGCGGGAGAGGCGCCGGATAAGGGGGAGCCGGAGCCCGCCGCGGCCCCGGGACTTCAGCCTGCGACTCTGGGGCCGCCGCGCCTGGAGTACACCTAGAGAGCCCAGCGCCGCTGGTGGCCTCGGGGGCGCGGCCTCCAAAGACCTGCCCAGCCTTAAACGTCGGATTCTCACTGCGTGGCCTCCTGCTTTGCTGGAATATTTTGACCTTGATTTCGAAATCTTTTCTGTATGAGTTGATATCTGGATGATGGAGCAATAGGGCAGGAGGTTAACCTAGGTCTCTAGGAGCTGGTTAGCAGTGAGCTAAGTGACCGCGGAGCACTAGGGAAGGACCAGGAGCAGTGAGCCATCCCGGGCCATTTTCAGATCCTGCTGAAAGCTGTCAAGATTCTGGGGTGGGTAAAATGTCGAAATGGCCAAGGAGAGAGCCTGTTTCTTGAGGTCCCCAGAACTACTGGATATTTTCTATTTAGGGACAGTCATCAAAGCGTTGAGGTGGAGTTTCAGCATCAGGAGCCTGGCAGAGAGTCCAAGTGGGACAGTGAGGACTTGGTAGGGTGTGGGGCCCCACATGGAGGGGGTCCAGCCCCAGCATTTGGCTTGTGAGGAGTCTTTGCAGCTCAAGAGAGGAAAGCAGCTGTGAAACTTCTTGATTTTTAAAATATTTTATGGGGCCATAAAACATGTCTCTGGACTTGGCTCAGGCTGTAGGTTGAATGTCTGTGACCTCTGTGTATGCAAAATACTGCAAAACTGAGTGGGGAGCATTTCCTGGGCAGTATTGGGCTAGGTGATGTGAGAAAGGAACAAGGTTGTGGTGGTGCCGGCACAGATGAATTCTTCCCTTAAAAATAAATGCCTTTTCCCAGGTTGACAACTTCTTCTTTTTTTTTTTTTTTTTTTTT